CACGGCGCTGCCCCTCGCACGAACGAGCGCTGAGCGGCTGCTAAATCTTCTGCTTTAGACGTGAAGTTACAGTGCTGCCCACAGACGTGACTGCACCATCTCTGCGTTGCAAACAGTTTATTTTATTCATTTGTATATGCTTTCAAGCATTTATATTGTCTGTATAAAAAAAAAGTTATGATTCAAGTCTTTATTGTGCAAATTTGATTGGTTTTGAAGTCGATACGTGACATTATTTGTTTTAAGATGTTTTCAATGCTACCCAGACATTAAATTAGGATAAACACTGGAAGGACTGCAGCAGGATCAACATGGGGCAGTGCTGACTGAGCTTTGCTGACCCACGCTCCTCCCTGGGATTCCCTGGGGCCGACAGTGTCTGTCAGCCTTTGGAAGCAGCGCCTGTGTGCACACACCAGCATGTTTTGTCACTCTGAGGGTCGAGTTTCTTGTTTTCTTTTTTTCATTAATGTCAGCTGTGTGCATGGTATGCACTTGACATTTCCACCCGGCTGGGCGATGGGTTATTCCAGTTCGTGGGCTGTGCTGGGTGGGGAGAAACATGGGCTCAGCCTGGGCTGGCCAATCCGACCCGCTGCGGCTCTCGCTCGGGATGACGCTGCGCAGCTTCCTGGGGTTTGTCATTCATCTGCCTGAGCAAGAGTCGTCCTCCCAGCCCAGCCTGCGCCTTGCAGGAAGTGATGGATGGAGCTACCCTGGAACTGGGCAGCTTTGTTGTGTCCTTCTGCTTGTAATGCACACAGTGGTCAAACAAGGAGAAGGATAATGACAGTGGGAAGGCAGAAAAAACGATTTAAATGTAATTTAAAGTTCCCAGAAGAGTCAGTGTGTTGCACCAGTATAAACCAGTTGATTTTGAGCAAAATAACTTCGGGTTTTGTTCAGCTTGAAATGATGCGTTCCCTTTGCAAGGCTATAGTTTGTCTCTAGTTTGCACAGGGTGTTCTTTTGAATTACCAGTGGAAGTAGGCTACTAGGAAATTAAATAAAAGCTGCCTACATGTGTTTCTTAATACATTATTTGAGGATTTTAAAATATATTTTCTAGTGAAAGAATGGTGTATGTAAAGGCAAGAAACACAAGAAGAGAAGTGTTAGACGGTAACTGCAGTAAATAGTAATGCCAGTTGCAGCAGGACCCAGGCTGAGCGCTGTCAGCAGCCCCAGGAACAGCGGTGTGGTGGGAGCTAGCTGGGGAACGGGGGGTTAGCTGACTCCACACTGTCTGCGGTCACTGCGCACAGACTCTGTCTTTCTGTTGTGGTTTTGAATGTTGTCTGGGTAGTGCCTAGAGACTCCCCACCACCCTCCCCACACATTCGAGCACATAGAGGAAAATCAGGCTGTGTTGCTTTAGAAACTGTATGAGACACACAGGAAAAAAAGTTTATGTCCTTTCACTTCTGCTTGGCTAGTCCTCCTGCTCTGGGCTCTCTCCAGGGCACGAAAGAAATCGATCTGTCATGCAGCAGAAAATGCATGCTGATGTGAAGAAATATCAACTAAAGCAAGCAGTGAGTTGTAAATCTTTGAAAATTATTTTGTTCTGGATATGGTAACACCATTAGTTTAAGTGTACATCTGCTGTTCAGGCAGTTTAGTTAATGCTTCCAAAATAGAATAATAAGTTTCTTTACCTCCAGCTAAGATTCTCCTCTCAAGTCTTTTTACTTGTTTCCTGCTGCTTCTGTGACACTTCACCCTGATGTAGGAGTGTCCTGCATACATAGAAAAGTCTTTCTGTGCATCACAAATGCGTGAGTTCTCAGTTAGCCTTTAAAACTCTGTGCTACTCAACATTTCAGATTTAAACTTAACCTCCTGAGCATCATAGTACCTGGACATAAGTCTTCTCTAGAGAAGTATCCCTGTGGACCTTTCTGTCCCAACATAAGCAACAGAGGAAGTTCTTCTCAGAAGGCTTGTGATGATGTTATCTACGTATCTTTTCTTACATGATAACTGTGACTTCAGGAGGTTGGACCAATATCTCTAGCTGATGACTGATGATCAGAGAATTTCTTGCAGACATGTTTTATGTCATGGTAACTTTCATCCTGTAGATGGAAATATAAATGAGGATTCTGTGGTCAAAAATTGCTTTAAAAGTCTCTTGCAAAGCAAACAAGTAAATGGTTTGAACAATCAGCCTCCATATCTTTGAAGATTTTTTTAATTGTTGAATTGGAGCTCAGCACCTCCAGCGCAGTACCACAGCTCAAGCTGTGCGAGCTTGGCCTGTGCTGGGAACTGTGGTGCAGGTAGAGCTACACAAGCTGCTTCTGAAAAAGCCCTTTCAAGTACTCGAAGTATTTGAGCTCAGTAACACTAAAATCAAAGCAAACTGCATTTGCAGTGTTATATATCCCAGTCCCTGACTTAGTTATTAACTGTAACTTTTGCATTTCTGCACTTCTGTGCAGAGTAGATTTACCCAAAATCAATTTGGGCTCTTAGGAGTGTTTTTTAGACTCTGCTCATGTTTGCCCATTCACTTGTTCTGTTTCACAGAGGTTCTGAAGCTCGTGTGGTGTTATATATAGAAAGGTCATGG